ATGCTGCAGTACACCGTGCGAGTCCCAACTGGCAGCTTCAGACAGCTTGTCAGCTTTATGAGCATCGTGGATTTCCAGCAACACAACACTTTTCTCCTTCATCACGACTTCGTAGTTCGTGTTCTCAAGAAACATCTTCTTTAACCCTTCTTCATACCTTTTCGGGCACTCGATCCAGGTTTCCCCAGGGTTCCGATCCAGAGGAGACAAGACCAACCCAGAAAAAACTTGTTTGACACCCACAACATATTCATTTAGAACACAACCAACCGATTTGGGGAGGCCTTTTTTGGTAACTCCCAATGGGTTGATTCGAAACTGGGTTTGAATGAGTCTCATTTATTGTAGACAATTTAATGCATCATTACAAGCTCTGTTGAGACCATCCTTAGTAGCAATAGTGCCAGGGAAAGGCACATTTTTTGCGTTAAACAAAAAAGGATGAATGTCGTCCACTTCACTGAGCTTGACTGCGACATGCCCGTCACGTCGAGGCAGGTCAAGGTCAACACAGGCGCACTCAAAACTGCTACACNGATGAATGTCGTCCACTTCACTGAGCTTGACTGCGACATGCCCGTCACGTCGAGGCAGGTCAAGGTCAACACAGGCGCACTCAAAACTGCTACACTGTGCAAAAGCCTTTTGGTTATGTAGAAGGTGTCCAACCGATTTGGCTTTAGTCCAAACGGCCTTGGTTCTCTTCGCATACAGGTCAGCAAGTGAAGGAGGTAGCACATTCACACCAATCCATTTTTTAACGTCAATTTCAACAAGAGCTTTGTCAATAGTCGTACAAAAAGGGACTTTAATAGTTATATTAGCACGTGGGTTCAATCCAAATTCCTTTTTGAAAACATTGGTTAGGATGCCACGAATGATCTGCCTACCACGTACTTGGTTCACAGTTTTAACCGCATTATTAGGTTCAATTAACTCATCCAACTCATATTTATACAGATCTTTGCGTTTCCAGGGAGCCCTTAATAATGCAATCAATTCCGCTTTCCTGCATTCGTACTTTGTCCTGGTTCTGATCAACTCAGTGATCTGCCATTCCCCACCAGCCTCTATTTCCTGTTTGGCATCTTTTAGCAGCAAGTTCACACCACAGCATTTCACTTTAGTAAAGCCAAATAGCAAACCCACCAAACACCATGCTCTCAACCATTTGCTCCCAGTGTTGTTAGACACAGATATCATCCGGCGCTTTTTCCTCTTCTCCAACAGTTTAAGGATGCGGACTAGATCAGGTTCGCCGCTTTAATCTACATCAGAGCAAACAAAAAGCAAAGGTTCGTTAATGACAACGGAGGTAGAATTTCCCTTTTTCCGTTTTCCTCAAGGTTTTCTTATTTTATTTGGTTTGCCTTTAACTCCGCGCGCATTCACACCGGGGTTCAGACTCTTAATCAGGGCAACTTCTAAAGATTCAACCGTGCAAACCTCACCGAACCAAATTGGTCACACCCCACTTTCCGCAACCAGGAGTGGACTTTCTGCCTACTGTCACCATTAGCAGATCTGCAGTGTTCAGACCATCTTTCCTTAAGGGACCGAACTGTCTTCCCCACATATATGAGTTTAAATTTCAGCGAGGTCAGGACATAAACACAGCATTTCGCATTAGTAAGCTGATCCCACTGGTCAGGGCCCATCCGCAGCCACAACGGCATGAAAGGCTTACCCCAACTAATAAGACCCAGTAGGCAGGCAAGCATTATTAGCAGAACGTGGACACGGTTTAGCAGAACGCATAGTGAACTATCAGCGTGATGCTTAAGATCGATGATCCGCTTCGTGGCCCGTAGCAGGGACCTCAAACTGTAGCAGCCTAGTTTCCCCTGATGGGGAGCACATCAGATGACTTTCTAGGCTCGTCTTCGGTGTCATCAGGCTGATTGGACGATTCGCCTTTCTTCCCGCCCTTCTCTTCCTTCAGGAGATCGGCGTAGTCCTGCAGATCCCGTCTTGCAAGCTCCCAGGCACCCATTTCCTTGCGAAAATATTGGATGTTTTTCTCTTTGCACAGCTCCTGCACCCGTGTGTAATGCAGTGAATTGTAGAAGTCACTCCGAATTTTCATGTAAGCTGCGAGGCCCCCTTCATCTTCTTCCTCCTCGTCCTCGGCATTTGACACGTTCTGAACAGTGTCCACGTCCTCCGTGTCATCGACAGTGACATCGGGTATATTACTTGAGGGTTCGACCACTTTAGCCTTCCCTTTGTCATCACCCAGCCCCTGCATAAGGGCAGCCAACATGCGTTTGATATCAGACAGCTCACTGTTGTTCTCCATCTTGACTTGGAGGTTCTGTATCACCCCGCCGGTTCCCTCCTCATCGGATGAGACATCGATGCGTTTCGGCCGAGTCTTCATGCTACCCCGAGAACGGGACTTAGCACGAGCACCGGAAGGTGAGTTCACAAGCGGAGTTCGTACGTTGATCCGCTTCCTCTTCTCGCTGCTTGACACATCCTTACTATCCTTACTCCCCTTCTCGACGAGCTTCTCCTTTCGAAGTTGCTCTAATTCCTCCTTCTCCGCCGACGTCAGTTTCGCCTTCGAATCTAYAGCTTCCAACTTCTCGGTTATGAGCTTCAAAGAGTCGCCGMGGGTGGTTGTTACCCAAGCCTTCATTTCATYGGACTTATCAGCAGGTCTTGACTCTGTCCTGCTGTTCTCCTCCGGGAGCTCAATAGCCTTCCCACCGCTTCGTCTGGAACCACCGATCTTCTTCTTAGCCTCCTCCAATGCCTTGTTCATCTTGATCCCTTTGAGGATGTCCATGTATTCTTTGGTGAAGTAGGCTCGGTTTCCAGGTCCTGGAAACGCATTCGCGGAATGGCCTTTCCCACTGCCAGAAGAGTTTCCACCGTGCGCCACCGGTTGATTACCGAGGTGTGAATACTGAGGAGGTGGTGGAGGAGGAGGAGGAGGAGGAGGAGGTGCAGTAATAGGATTAGCAATAGCAGGCGGGATCGTCGGTGCTACTCCGGGGGGTATAGCCGACGGAACACCTGCAGGTAAGGTCGGAGCCGCGACTGCCATTGGGTGTGTAACCCAAGGCATATGTGCCGCCCAATGTCCAGCGTGCAACTAGGGATTAACACCCCACTGTCCATTCGGATATGGTAGTGAAACGCCGGGATGAGGCGCAGGTGCCTTCCCTCCTGAAAACAGATACGGCTGAGCAGCGACAATACTAGGCGGAGGCGGATTACTGCCAGGATAAGCCGGCGCAGCATTCCCCGCTGGTTGATTGTAACCATTACTCCCGCTCCCTTCCATCCAGTAGCGGTTGTCGCCAGACCACTTGCCCCGCCGCCCGGGCTTCTTTCCCCGACCCCTTCCGTACATGCGACTAAGGAAGATAATCGCAGCAACACCAAACCCCACGCTACAACCAACGAAAAGCTCTCGATAGCACACTTGCTCCTCCGAGATAACGGTCGCGAGCGCAGAAGATCTCACCACCATACCAGTAATGGGGTCCCTCGATCAACTTCGATCCTTCAGCCGCATTAGCCGTAGCCCTTGTCAGCGCAAGGTCGTTCGTACGGGGACAGATCTAAAGTAGTCGATCGCGAAGGTAGTTACAACAAGCGATCGCTCACGGAGAAAGACGTACGCATTAGAGTTCGGATGATACATCCACAACAAAGATGCGCATCAAGGAAAGGAAACATAAGATGATGACAAAGCCCAGGAGAAAACCTGGTGGAAAACCCGCTAACGCTGGGCATAGCAAACAAGGAATATAATTCGACTTGCGAAGAACGAAATTGCAATAACATGCAAAATTATAAGGTAGAGAGATTACACGTTACGAAATATGCAATTCTGTAATTACAGAATTATGAAATATGAGAAGATGAAAATTGAGAAATGAAAATTGAGAAATGAAAAATGAAAATATAGATTTAAATTTAAATTTATAAAACTGGAAAGCGCGAATTCACCGTAGTGAAGACGACACCGTTGTCTCGTTACTAAGCCACGGCAGGGTCGAGACTAGGGTTGTACACCATAAGAAAAGATTAACACATTATGGAATTATAAAATAAAGAAGACAACGTGAGCTTTAGTATCATGGCGCCGTCATCTCCCAGCTTTACACCAGCTGCGACATACTCAACCCTTCCACTCATTCCCCACTCAAATTGAGGCATAACTTCCTACTTCCTATGCTAATTTATACCAGTTTTTACTGTACGTACAACTGGGTGCTCATCTCATAGCACGTACCACACTCCCGGTACCCGTAAGTATCAGAAACCAGTACCAAAAAACGTTTGGTCGTGCCAGCCTCACGGAGGCCGCATTCCATACTCGATAMATGCGCAGACTAAGTCCGWGCARTTTCCGTCAGGATATCAGATATCTGGTCCTGTAATCGGGCCACTGCAAAGGCAGCCAAACCATGCTTCGTCTTCATATGGGCAGGAGGCCGAGATGCACGTGCTTGAATATGAAAACGACAACCAACTGCCTGCGTTGAGGCAGGTCCAAAAGGTCTCACGGAGAGCCAGAAGTACATATTTTTGCCGCCGAAAACAATTTTCACTGCGCGGTGCAGTCCGCAGATGGCAAAAACAGTCACAATCCAAAGGATACCACACTGTCTGAGTTTGTAGATCAGATTCGCTAAAATGTCCGACACTGCCTGGTGCGACCCAGAAAATGCATATGGGATACCCCATTGTCCAAGTTAGGACGAAGAAAAATTCAGCATTTTAATTAGGCGCACGAGCTTACCCCATAGTGGTACGGGGTCCCTGCGTTGCATCCACTGTATACCTGCAACAACAACAGTAGTAGGGTAGGCGTGCTTTCAGAGTTCCTCCGCAAGGGATAAAACGGCACAGCAAATCAGGCCTCGTCATTGCAGTTCTGTGAGATCCTTAGGATGGTAATGGCCATTGTAGCGAATTTAGCTGCTTTTGGGCCAAAAGATGAGAAGTCTTTAAAGGTGCGGAGTCGTAGGTCCCCAGGGGACCAAATGGTTCCGGCGTTTTTGAATTTATGAGACGCAAGGACAAAAATAACACCGTTCGTAACGACAAGTCTGGTTTCCAAAAAATCCAGGAGCGCCAATTCCAGGGTCAGTTCTTTCCAGAATTAACTCCGCAGGGTAACAAGCGAGAATCCGGTAAAGTCTTTCTTCAGCTTTCTCTTCTCCTTCCTGGTCATTGACATGAAAGAAAGAAAAGAGAAGGAGATCGTCTATGTACCGTTTCCCAGTTATGAGCCTAGCGTCTGTCCCGAGGGACCGAATGAACTTGGACTCTGCAAACATACACATAATACAGGCAAGTGGAGGACTTGCCCGACCACCCATAGGGAGTCCTTTCTTCTGTCTCAGGATGCAGTCGGAAACAAGAAAAAAGGTGTTCTTCATCAAAGTCCTCATCCTTCTTCCTATCACCAGACAAGGGCTTGGGACTCGTGAAAGGTATTTTGGGCATCCACTGCATAGGCTGCATGGGCCCAAGGGCTTGCTGCAGAGGCTGCATAGCCACTGAAGCAGGCTGTTGCACACTAACCTGGGCCTGGCTTGACAGTGGGACTGTAGTAACCACTGTCGTAGATGGTACGGCTGAGACTCTATGAACCGGAACACTAGTTGCTACTAAACCACCTGGAGGGGGTATGCCAAACATAGGAGAGAAAGTTGGCCCTGTGTGTTGCAGCATCGATGAAGGACCCGCACCTGCAGGGGGAACTATAGCAAACTATGGCTGCCTCATCATTGTACGAGGTGCCTGAAGTTCAGCCATAATTTGTTTCTGGCCTGCTACCAATTCGGCCACCAATTCCTGCTGGACATTCTGCGCTTCTGCCACTGATAGTAAAGCATTACGCAGCACACAGACAGCAGGGTCTAATGCCGCCTCATTTAGTCCTTCCAGTCTGCCTAGCTCCTCTCTTCTACTAGTCTAGCTTTTCTCAGGATTGCTTTTCTTCTCCTCTCTGCTGCTTCGTCCAACTGCCACTGTAGCTCATCCTAAAGTTCTTCTGCTTGCCGAATTTCTAAATCCTCCGGCGTGAGTTGAGTCTGCTGGCTGACTCGCAAGCTAGCAGTCTGACTAATGGACCCCTGAGAACCACTCTGACTGACTCCTGACGAAGTGGACTGTGTAGAGATTTGCGACATAGATGAGGTAGCCATGGTTGCACTGGTGCTAGCTGAAACTTTAGTCCTGGCACTATCCTTAGCTGCCCTCACTCTTCTTGTCGCTGCTCTCTCTCTAGCCTCTCTCCGCAATCTTCTCTCGTCTCCTGGACCTAACTATAAGAATGTCAAGGGTCGACTACGGGCAGTCCCACGAGTAGTCCTACGGTCGTCCACTAACAACTCCTCCTCACTAGTGCTTGCATCACTCATGAGCTACAGTGTGTGTGATCTAAACTAGAATTCACACTTAATCCTACCTTAGCCTGACACACAACCGATTATGAATCACAACTAATTTCGGTCGGATGGAACAAAAACAGTTAGGTGATATAGTAACAACTAATGTCAGGTCCTACAGGATATATTAAATCTATTTTTAGATTACCCTAGAACAGATTGCAATACAGCAAAGATCTAATCTGTCTGTAGCTGTCTGTCAGTTGTTAGTCAAGTCTGTAACAACTAGATAATCAAAAATAAAAATAACATCTCCTGTTGGAGATGTATGCTTGATGGCAGATTGTCTGTTGATTGCCACTGCGAACAGTTATAGGAATCCCCCCTCCCCCTGTATCCTTCTTGAGTGGTCACTTTGTGTCAACGTCCTGAGCATCTGGTTGAGCAGCGTGTCTGAAGGTGTGCAATCCGGCCCACCCCTGTGCCCCAAGTCAATGCCGAACCTGCCAGCCCCTGCACTTTATTTACCCTCGCATGCAGCGAGCCTTACACCCGGTTGATCTGGCTGATCAGGAGGGATTTAAGGAGAGCCCCCATCTCCTCAGCAATTATTTAACGTCGCAGACAGGACGACGATCACAACCAGATTCAATTCTGAGTCCCCAGCCAAAAATGTTTAAAGACGGTCCGGTAAGCGTCTGTCAAAGGGCTGGCTTGCCCTGCATGACCTCTATTGCGCAAGCAGCAGAACCAAGGACTTGCGGCAAAGCATGCGTGTACTAGTCCCAGCGGGTTGGCATGGTGACCGTGACCCGAGTGCTTCGTCCAGGGCCCTTCAGAGGCTTCGCCCGTCTCCCACCAGCTTGCTGCCCAGGAAGAATGTCGACTCTCAAGGTTGAGCGCTCGCGTCACCTCACATCGAGAGGACTCTCAAGACAGAACTCACTTCCTCATGGTAAGAAGCAATGAAGAGGGTAGATAAAGAAGAGAGCAACGTACCTCATAACTGCTGCCCCCAACCACAGATTTCTCACCAGCAACCTGATGTGCAATTATGATGACCGGTCTTTGCCTCGGCACAACCAACAGCAGAATGTGGTTCCACCTCGGCTTAATATGCCACAGCAGCGAGCTCTCATCATCCAACATACACCCCTTATGTCACCACATAGCTCCCCGACGCGCCCACACTACCCTGGGCCGCCTAATGTTCAACGCCAATGCCTTATCACTGCCCCACACCCTCATGCGAAGCACCAATAGCTATTGCGAAGAACCAATGAAGCGCAATATGAACCAGCTCCGATACCAAATTGCAAGGAAAATAAGCAACAGCGAGATGACAAATTCAGATTACACCATCACATTAAAAGCCTATAGTCACACTGTGTCCAGCGAGCAGCATTGCACCAATAATACATCAATGGAGATTCGTAGTACTGAAAACCAATGTCATGGAGAACTTTCTCTCTCCTTCAGCAACACAAGAGTCCAGTCCCTTCACACTCCTACTTGGCGCTCAGCGCCCAACCTACTCCTACACAACTAATAGACAATGCAACTGTTGACATCAGCTGCAACCCGAACTACTTGAAGATGTCGCCCATATGCTGACCATCGCCAATACAAGGTAAGTGCCCTCACATCATCATCATCATCATCATCCTTTGCCCTTCCCTGACTTAACACCCACATCTGTCCTCTCTTGCACCCGAAGACCACCCTTGCGCCTCACTGTGTATCCAAGTCGAGCCCGATATGGAGGCAGGCTATGGCGCTGCCCTCAGCAGCGCCCTGCTCCCACACACGACCGCACGTGCGCAGCCTCTTGCTCCAATGCCGGCAGCCAGCCCGCGAGCAATCGCTCCAGCAGCGCTGCCGCCAGCCAGCAAGTGACCGAATGCCCTGCCAGCGGAGAGCTCTTTCCATATCTTTCCATTATGGAAAGAGCTGGCCTGCTTTCCCTGCCTAGCTGCCCTAGCCTGGGCCCAAAAGCTTCCAGAAGGCCCCAGGAGGCTGCCTCTGTACATCAGCTACTGAGCTGCTGGGCCGCGTTCGGTTGGGCGCCCAACTGTCTCTGTATGAGGCTGCGATTCACGCCGAGGGCCTGCATTCTTCGGAAAAGCCCAGAGGGCCAGGGAAATGTCTTTGTGGCCCGGCCCGAGTTTCTCTCAACCAACTGGCGCGTCGCAACTGCCTGGACCCCAAATATGAAATTGACAGTAGGGGGCCCCTTGCGATATGTCAGGCCCGCCTTCACTTAGGGCGGGCACCTCCGCCTTCACTTAGGGCGGGCAATGCTGCAAACAAGGCCCCTTAGGCCTACCGAGGACCTTGATCCTCGCAGTTGGAAAATCCGAAATATTTTTTCTTTCACAATATTGCGTGGATTCCTTTGTTTTTTTTCGGATTCACACATCACAAAAATTTTGATTGCAATTCTTTTCGCTATGTCCCGTTATTCCGAAAATTCCGAATTTTTTTTTTTTAATCTTGTTTCTGCGTTGATCTCTTTATTTTCACGCATTTTAGTGGTAACGGTATCTCCGAAACCCACTATTTCGTTGTTTTTCCGTTATTTCGAGATTCCAATTTTTTTTTTTAACGGAAAACCTCTCTGGCAGTTCATTTCTTCCAGCGCAAAGTCTCATCTGATAATTCCAAATTTTTTTATTTTTCGGAATTCCCGAAACTTGCGAACAATTTTCGCAGTTCTGTTATTAATTATTCATTATTATCATTATTAGTAATTTATTTATTACTATTCATTTGCACTCTGAAAAGTTGATTTTTTTTTATTATTACGTATTTCGAATATCGGGGGACTGGGAGACGTACCGAACTTGCAAAATCGAGTTTTTTTAATTATTAATTCCTCGAATTTTTTTTGCAAAGTTCAAACTTTTCTCTTTTTGATAAGTGGCTCCTTATCTGGGCGATTAATCCCACCCACCCCCACCTATGTTGTTGCACCCTCCTTTCTTCCCTTCTCATATGTCTCCGGGAACTCCCTACTGCGGCATTGGTGGGTTGCCACGTCAGCAGGCCACGTTAGCGGGCTACGTCAGCAGTGATACGTCAGCGACACATCAGCCGACAGCCGCGCCACGTCAGCAGCCGAACAGCACCACCACAGCAGCAGAGAGTGCCACGTCAGCAGTTCCCCCCCCTGGTCTATGATCACGTGCTCTCAAGCAGTCGTCATGGACGAGAAGCCAGGGGAAATGACTGAGGCCTATCAGGTCCGGATGCTCGTTTTGATTACCGAAGCTAAGCAACGGTTGGATGCGGTAGCAGACGCAGAGACGAAGAAGGTAGAGGATGCAGAGAAAGCACATCTGGTGGTGGTGGAACAACAGCGCCAGCACGTCGAGGCAGCAGCACAGGCTGCCAGTGAAGAACGCAGCATGCAATGCGAAAAGGTATTCGGAGAGGAGAGAGCCTTGCTCACTATGGCAACGGAATGACGGACCGAGGCCGAAGGTTGCGAACTCTGCGACAGAGGACTCAGGATCTTGCCTTTGCTTTCCCACCTCATGGACCTCCCGGCAACCTGCATTGCACAACAAGAGGACATCCATTCCCTCGACAACGAGGTCAAGCAAGTCAACAGCCGCCTCAATCAGTTGGAGCAACGACCCGTCGCCGCCCTGTCGCCAGCTCCTCCAACACCGCCAATCGCCTCAACGCCTTGGAGATCAACGTCAGAACGCTTATGGACGGCGCACGGGCACAGCAAGCGGCCACTCAACAACTTGAGCAGCGGATCTGCGCTGCCGCCATTCGTTCGAGCACGTCTACACGTGAAACTATTCCGAAGTTCGATGGGCAAGAGATCTTTTGCGACTCTACAAAGACGGACCCAATTCCATGTGGTCGCGACAATTATGCCGATTGACCCTTCAAGCGAGGCTGCATCTGCCAATGAGGGGGACAGACTTGCAGCTGCCCGGGATGGTGGCCGCCTCGGCAAAGGCCGTGGAAGCGGGCAGATCGAAGCCCAACACCACGTCAAACCCCGGGCCCGGTGCAACATCTCAAGACCCATGGACTCTTGGAGAGCGTATACAAGATACACACGAGATTTTGGTACTGTTTGTGGTGCAATAGTGATCTCCACGAAACAGTGGATTGTCCTTTAAAAGCTAAGGGCAAACAGTTGGGAAAGTCAGCACCACCGGGAGTGAGTTGACAACACTCTCGATGCCTTCGGAACCGGTTGCTACTCGTGCAATCACCCTTCGTTCCGAGGCACATGCGGAAGTTGATAGTCCTCCCATCTTATATTCTTTTGAGGACTATGATGGCCCACTCGTTCCTATGCTGGGTACTCATGCTCAAGGACAAGACCTGTGTGCGGTATCTACTCCATACGGCAGTGGCAACTTATCGTCTTCAAGTGGTTCTTCACGAGATTCGGCGTGAGTTCAACATAGAGGTATTTGACCCGCTCACGTCCGAGGATTTCGCATGGCTTCCTCTCCCGACCTTAGGCCACTTGCCGGATCTGCAATGCGCAGCACTATGCGCTCATCTTCACACGTACTTATCCTTCTATCCACCACCAACTTCGTCGACGGATGACGAAGCTGCAGTGGGGGACATCCTTGCGTATGTTACCAAGGTGGCCCGCGTGTAGCGGTACGATGACAACAACGCACCGCTCCTCTATGTCCGCATCCAAGTTGGGCAAGCGTCCTGCAGCGCTTTGCTAGATAGTGGCACGACTCGCAATTTCATGAGCCAAGCCTTTATGCAAAGGGCTGGCTTGGGCGCACAAGTTCGGAGGAAGGCAAACCCAGTGCGGATCACACGGTCAACTTCCACCAGCGGACTATTACCATCTGCGACACCTTCGGCGCCGAAGTGTCGTGTGCCATTCCTCGTCTGCACCCTTCGATCCGGCGCAAAGTTGTGACGGCCAAGTCGTTTCGGGTTACTTGTGCTTACGAGCAGCCCGATGAAATAGGCTCATGTTTCCTACGAACCGTTGTGGTCGCCGACTCGTCACCCACGAACTTGTCCTTGGACCCCCGTGTGGTGCGGCTGCTGGATGCGTTCGCCGACATCTTCGAGTCACCTACCGGTGTGGTGCCGGATTGGCCGATCTCTCACGAGATCATTCTTGAGGCCGGTGCCGTGCCGCCGAAAGGTTGCATCTATCGCATGAGCGAGGAGGAGCTCGTGGTCCTCCGCGCACAACTTGACGACTTCTTGGACAAGGGCTGGATCCGCCCTAGTAGCTCCCCATATGTAGCACCCACGAACAAGAACAAGGATCTGCGATTGTGCATCTACCGCAAGCTCGACGTGCAAACCGTCAATAATGTGGGGCCTCCTCCTCGTATTAACGATCTTCTTGAGCGATTGGGCGGCGAGAAGTACTTTTCCAAGTTGGACTTGAAGTCGGGCTATCATCAAATTTCGATACACCTGAATGATCTACAAATCCATGTTCAAGACGTGGTACGGACATTTTGAGTGGGTGGTCATGCCTTTTGGCCTCACCAATGCCCCGGCGACCTTTCAAGCGGCGATGACCAACGAGTTTCGTGCGTGTTGGGCCGCTTCGTGTTGGTCTACTTGGACAACATTCTCAGCTATAGCCGGACCTTGGAGGATCATCTTGAGCACCTTCGCGTGTTGGAGATGCTCCGCCACGCCAAGTACAAGGCCAACCGCGACAAGTGCGAATTGTCCGACAAGAGCTGGAAGATTTGGGCCATTTTGTCACACCGGAGGGCATCAGTCCATTGTCGGACAGCCATCCAGGAGTGGGCGGAGCCATGGAACGTCACAAATGTCAATTCGTTTCTTGGCCTTGCCAGCTACTACCAACGTTTTATACAGGGAACTTCGAAGGTCGCGGCCCACTTGACCAAGCCTCAATGCGAGGATCGACCGTTAGACTTCTGTGAGGATGCGCGAGGTTCATTTTTGGGCCTCAAGGCCACATTACTATCTGCGGAGGTCTTGTGCATCTACGACCCACTATTGCCGACGCGCATCACTACCGATGCATCCGGCTATGGCATTGGTGCTGTCCTCGAGCAACACGATCGAGTATTTCAGCAAGAAGGTGTCCATCGTGCACTCAATTGATGATGCACGAAACAAGCTCCTAGTCTTCGTCCACGCGCCCAAGTATGGCGACACTTTCTCCTTGGTCGAAGTCCATTCTGATGGGTGACAGACAACAATCCATTGGTCTTTTACAAGACCCAAAACAAGGTTAACAACACCATCGCCCGTTGGATCGCTTTCACCGACCAGTTCGACGTCTTTCCCGATCACATCCCGGGGAAGTCAAACCGTTTTGCGGATGCTCTTTCACGACGTCCATATCAGTGCACCGCAGTCTATTCGACCCGAGATCGATGACGACCTGCGGGACAGCTTCATCCGCGGCTACCAAGCCGGCCCCCAGTTTTGTACGGCGACTTGCGACCACTACCGGTCCCCTTGCGCTGAAGGGAAGCGATTGCCATGGACCACCGGGTCGTTCCCCAAGCACAAGACCGGTGTGGATGGGATTCTCACGGTGGTCGACCGACTCACCAAGTTCCCCATGTTCTTGCCTTGCTGCAATCATGCCAAGGCACCGGAGTTGGCCGAGGTTCTTTACATCAGTTGGATTTGCACCAAGGGTTACCCCAAGGAAATCGTCTGCGACCACGACACTCGGTTGATGTCCGATTTTTTATTGGCGCTCATCAAACAATGGGGCTAATCTCTCAAGCCGAGTTCGCCTCGCCACCCCCAAACCGATGGCCAAACGGAGAGAGCTCATCAGATCGCACAGGTTCTCCTTCGGACTCTCATCCGCCCCGACCAAAAGAATTGGGTTGAGCGGCTGCCGGATGTCGAGTTGGCATACAACTCGTCCATTCATCCGGCTATCGGGATGTCGCCCTTTGAGTTCGAGCACAGCTCACCGGTCACCTCTCCGTTGGACACAATCATCCCACGGGCAGCAAAGAACGACGACCATCTTCGGATGCAAGAGCTACTTGTCAAGGCATGCGACCAAATGGCAAAGACGCAGCAACGCATGAGCCAACAGGCCAATCGCCAGCGCCTTCCTTCTCCATTCTACGCCGACGACCTCGTATGGGTCTCCGCCGCGAAATTCAGCCTCGAACAAGATATCTCTCACAAGCTCCTCCCAAAATGGATGGGGCCCTGGCCGATCGTGGCACCTGCTGGGGATGACACCTTCATTCGTCATACAGGTGCCCGCCCACTTGCCCGTCTACCTGGTCTTTCATTGCTCAAAGTTGGCTTTTTTCACGCCAGCGGAGCATCATGATTTCCCCGGGCTGTGATAGCAAGACCCACTCTCTATGGACGGTTTTCAAGAGGTCGGCAACATCATCTCCCAGCGACGCTACGGCAACAGGCCGACAAAGTACTTACTACACTTGCGTACTGCACTCATAAAGCTGACCGTTGGTTGACCCGCGCGGACCTGCAAGCAACAGCTCCGGATGTTCTCGCACGCTATGAACGCAAGTTGCAAGGCAAGTCGGCATCTTAGGCTCCACGTCGCGCTCGCGTCCAGGTTCCACCTTCAGATCGTCAGCTTCGCCCTCGACCCGGCTTGACTTCATAAGGAGAGGGGGGTGTTACATGCTGCGCCTGCACACGGGCCCCATTTGCAGGGCCCGACGGTTGCTGATGGGCCCCAGGCCACATGCCAGCCAGCACACGCCCTGGAGGCCCACGGTGGCCTTTTTGGCCGCAGGTACAGCCTGAAGCAGCACTTATAGTTATTTATTTATTTATTTATTTATTTATGTGCTGTCCTACTTTGTCTGTTCAGACGTCACTTCGGACTTGCAGTCCCCAAGGCACGGCCTTGGGCTGGGTGCACTACCAGCGAGGCCGCTTTCAGGCCAGGCGCATTTTGGCACCTCGCCGCATTATTTTTTCCCGTTTTTTGTTTTTTTCCGGACCTGTCCAGACATCCGGACCGTCTGGATCCTCCCATGTCCGGAGGTCCGAAAATGTCCGGAATTCTGGACGTCCGGAGCGACCGGACACGTGTCCGGTTTGATATCCGGAAATGTCCGGGTCAGGGTCTGGCGTAGCCATGGATTTTGTTCACTTATTTTTTTGTCACCACCACCTCAGCTCTTGTCGGCCTTCTCACAACACTGGCTCCTCTTCCAAAATGCGACCGCAACACAGACAATGAGAGTTTGCTCCACTACCACTGCAATGATTCTGGATTTCACACCTTTCGCACCACTTCCACCCGCACGCATGATTTTTTTTTTTTTTTTTTAATGGTTTCCAATCTACTTGGGAAGGTGATAAGGACCCCCCCCCCCCCCCCCCCTCTCGTAGGTAGGTGGCATTCGGAAGCTTACTGCAGGGTACTCGACCAACACCCCGACTGCGTAAGACCACTCCTCTATTTTGTATGGCTTAGTAGGCTTACTGCAGGGTACCTACTGGAAGGTTCTGTATGGCCCATAGCGCTGTACCTGCCTGGAAATTTCTGTACGCCCTACTGCATGTGGTCACAGCACGGTACCTACCTGGAAGGCTGGAAGTTTCGTACGGCATACTGCACAGTAGCTACCTGGAAGTTTTTGCATGGCTTACTGCATGGTACCTAGTGGAAGGTTCTGTACGGCCTATACGT